ATGACTATAAGTAACTTTACAACTACATGTCAACCTATTCTACTAACCCTAACGTCTAACCTTAAACTAATACTCTAATGAGAGTTAGTTGACATGTAGGTGCAATGTTACTTGTAGTTAGTAGAATGTCTAAAGTGGACCATCAAAAAAAGAATAACCAAGCATTATAATACACTCTATAAAATGCTGGGTTGTTTGAACCCAAATTTGGGTAAAATATGGACAAACCCAAATGTTGGGTTAAAAATGCAATTTAAAAAATTACAGTTGAAAGTGAAAGTTGAAGTTGGGTTAAAATTTGAAATTACATTTTTAACCCTCTGGGGTCCAAGGTGTTTTTTGGGTCCTTGAGATGTTTTGACATACTCTGACATTTGTGCTTTTTTCAGTTGCTTATAAACATATTACTGGCAAAGGTGTAATTACACTCTATTTAGCACACACAGGGCTACCATAATGTGTTATCAACATGTATGTACATTTTTGTATTTTTGAGAGAATATTGTTTATGCGTGGTTATTGAAAAAACTAAAACTTAAAGTTTCTGAAATAAGGCCACAAAACACATACTAAATATCTGTCCACAAGACTTTTGACTAATGGATGTTGTCGCCTAGAGTTTTTTCTTCAAAATGATCTGAAAATCATCCTGCCTTATCATTCCGTAAAACAATAGATTGGTTTAAATTTAAAAATGACACTTTTTGTTTGGAAAGGCAATATGCGCAGGGGTGTGACCTGCTGTGATTCACACCTGAGAAGACAATGGCCCGCATAATGAGCGCATAATGGGGCTGCATACTAATGACCCTTTCATACAGGTGTGTCACTGAGCCACAAGAATGCAATGACAATATATATATATATATATATATATATATATATATATATATATATATATGCCTATATAATACAAAATTGGTTCACAGTTCCAATTATTTATTTATTTTTCAAATTGTGCTTTCAAATTGTATAATATCAAATGTAAAAATTTCTAGTAATTGTGCAGTTAATTATCATACTGTTTTTACAGAAAGTTTGGGAATATATCCCAAATGTGTCACTAATAAAACACAATACAAATAATTTAAAGAGGAGGCTTATATTGAGCTTTTAAGATTTACCTAAGATTTATTTATATGTAGCCTACATATATTTTTGCTATTTTAATAAAAAGGTTACAATTACAACAACAATTAAAATTTTAACTATATTTCAAATGTAATCTTTCTTTGTATTATATACTAAAGTATACATTTTATCATACATATTTAACAGTTGCGGATTAATTAGTTTGAATATAGCTTACAATCGAACAAACACTATAATAACATCTTAGCAAACAAGCTTATTTGATGTGGCAGTATTTTACAGTGAAAACGACATCTTGTCTTTCATATGTAACACATCGTTTTTATGATTAGGACATATAAATGTTAATTTGCAGTTTAATACGTTGCTTATACAAAAATATTTTATTTCAACATATTTCAGTCGATTTTTACTCATCTCAGTATTGGAATATAGTTAGGTAAAAGCTGTTCATTCATTCACACACAAAAACGCGATTCAAACAGTCTTTTTGTTTACAGACACTATTCCATATCGCGATTAGCACAAAGCACTTGAAAATAAAGAATGTACCTATTTCCTCGGCTGGATCCGTTGCTCCTCCAAATGAAACTACCTGTAGCCTACTTCTGAGGTAATTTATTCCAGGATTATTATTAAGATAGAACTATTATTCCTCACAGCGTCGTAAATCTGAGTCTCTTTCGTGGGTTATCCAGCTGATGTGGGCGTGGATCGCATTTGTGTTTGAATAGAGCGCGCGCTCTGTGGGCGTGGTCAAATTAACTTTAATGAGCTGAGACGAGAACGACTATCATCTCTCTCTTTTCGTACAGATTACATAAAATGAGAAAAAATTTTTTTTATATAAATTACTTCATTTAAAAGAAGATAATTCAGGCTTCATGCCTGTGTGCCTGTATACCTGTTTGACTGAGTATTTGCAGAGTTACAGATGATTTTTCGGACGCGTTTCAGAATGGACTTCACTGACAGAGAGAACGCAGAACGCGCATCATGTTTATTTTTCTTTATTAGGCGAAAAGCACAACACTTTGTTTTTATTATGAGGTTCCACAAAAAAAATACAAACTTAACAGGATCGAATGATGTACAACACTTATATGTAAGATCAAAATTAACAGAGTAATTTGAGTCTCTTTTGCACTGATAAGGAAAAAAGTGAGCTGGTATCGCCGGCGAGACCGCCGACCCCAGAGAGTTAACCCAACATTTGGGTTTGTCCATATTTTACCCAAATTTGGGTTCAAACAACCCAGCATTGTTTAGAGTGTAATATAATATAATGATGATTTTGTGCAAATGAGCCCCGCCTCCACTCACTCACTCAGCTCAGAGATCCACTGGTTGACGATCACACGTGGATCTGATTGGTTACAAGGTAGTGTGTGACGTCAGAAACACCAGCGATTTCAAACCGCGTTTTTGAGACTGTCTTTGGTTCACTGCAGTTTTAAGCAGAAAATACTCAGCAATGCTGTCGACTTATGAATTTACACATGATTTGTCTTAAAGCATATTAAAAACACCACATAGACATATAAACAACATTAAAATGTCTTTAACACTGGTTACTATTTATATATTCTTCACTTTGTTTGATCTTTTTCTGTCTTTAACCTTCACAAGGGTTCTCTAAGCTCTGCATAACTGCCACAATAGACACTTTACCTCATCTGTGCTTTTAATGAGATTGCTTAATATTTAATGAGCAGTCTGTGTTTACACATAAAATCCACCACAAAAAAACCCGTGGGTTATCATTGTAGAAGTTTTGTTGAAAGTTGTAGAGAACACACAAAACTTCCACACATATTTCATTAATATGACTTTACTTTGCTTTATTCACTTTAGATTTGACATTTCTATTGAATATTTCTGTGAATGTGCCAGTTTATAGTTTCTAATAGTAATTCAGCAACTATAGTTCCCAGATAGGTATTACAAAGAAAACACAGAGAATAATAATATTAATAATCATAATTTATTTGATTTATTAGGGTTATTTATGTTATGCTAAAATGTAAAACATTTTTTCATTCACGTTTAGTTTCCCACACAGTTTGGTTTTAATACACATGCGATTAATAAACCAGCGGTTATAGTTCATTTAACATATCTATCACCTCTCTTCTCCTTCAAAAACTCATAAACCAGAAGCCTATGTGGTCAAATTTTTAGTAACCTCTCTATAGGCCTTATATGAAACAAACATGCAGAATTTTAGAATTTAGAATTTTTAGAATTTAGAATGTTGTCTTTGAACTTCCGTTTTTGCAGTAGCTCTTATTTGGCGTCATCATTAGCCGGTGGACTTATTGTAGAGTTAACGAAAGTCATCATGATCATTGTAATGTTTGCGCTGATGACATAATGGAAGGACAGGGGAGATTTTAAAACGAGCGTTTTATTCATTGATCGGTAAGATCTTACCTTCATGCCAGGGCCGGCCCGAGGCATAAGCGAACTAAGCAGCTGCTTGGGGCCCCTTGGCCACCAGGGGGCCCCCCAATCGAGTCGAAAAATATTTTTTTTAGATAACTTAAACAAGTGACACAAATGAATTAATTAATATGAATGAATGAATAATTAAAGACAAAAAAATTCTGATTTCATGATCAATATACCTCCCTACAACTGCTGCTGTGTCTGCCAGCGTTTAAGTCATGCGCATAATCTAGACACCTCGCGCGTGCATAGACAATTCGTGCGCAACTGCGCATAGTCGCGGACTCGCGGTAATGTTAAGGCATGTCACAAAAAAGGACGTATCCCTCTGGTGCCGAAAATAGAACAAATAAAATGACACAGGAGGAGAAAAAAAGAGCAAGATAAAAGTATGTTTGCATGATTACTTACGGTATGTTTTGTGCAGCAATTGACCCATTCCTATCTACGGCAAGCCCAGAGGGGAAAAATACATTGCATACACACACATATACAATGAGCGCCAGTACATCATTACTGGTATTATAGTAACAGACTTTGTTGGATTCTGTCATGTACAATCTAACAAAGTCTGTTACAATAATAATAATAATAATAAAAATTAATTATTTATTTACTCTTATTATGTTTTGGATTTTTCAGTTTTCTCAAGAGTAAGTAAAAGAGTAAAGTAAAAGTTAAAAAAAAATATTTTAGTAGGCTATCTATTTTTTATTAAGTATTTATTTTGTATTTATACATAACCTCACTGTATAAATTTATAGTGTATCATTATTGTGTGACATTTGTGTCAATAATCGTCAAGCACAGGTGACTCCGTGTAGTGGGAGGGGCCCCCATATCAAATTCTGCTTAGGGCCCCCAAAAGGCTCGGGCCGGCTCTGCTTCATGCTGTGGAAATATAAACCAGAAGACAGAACAAGAGCTCATAATATCCCTTTAAACAATTCTGTGGCAGTGCCATGGTATTTTGATACAATATTAAACCATGCTACTGAATGATTACCATATTCATGTACCATAATGTTACACAGGCCAGTTTTATTTCATACATAAATCTTTTTTTTTTTCATCTAGTATTACTTTCTAGTAGTGCTCTGTTCTGCATCTCATTCTACCAAGAGTTTAGATAATGTTGAACCATTTCACTGAACTCTCATGTGGGGTTTTATTTTGTTCACTTTCAGAAAAAAAGGTACAAAAGCCGTCAGGAAGACGGTACCCCTTGAAAAGGTTATAATGTGTATCATTTAGATTCTAATATGTACCATTTAGGTACTAATATGTAATGTTAAGGTACTAATATTCACCCTTTTTTGGGGGTAAATAAGGTACAAACATGTCGTTTTGAAAGGTAGTAACAGCTTTTGTACCTTTTTTATGAGTGTTAGTGCTGTCATTTCACCACAGTCCATTGTCCAGTACAGACAGACACAACTTTATCACCCCAGTGTGTTTGT